TGAAGGTGTTAGAAAAGTAGGTGCTATCATATTTACTGGTGTAAGCGAGAGAAAGAAAGAAAGCAGCACATAACGGAAAATAAGAGAAAGAAGAGAGAGAAAAGAAAAAGAAAGAAAGAAAACGTTGTACACCTATAAATGATATGAGTTGGAAAGACGAGGTCCAGTTGTTCTACTGACTATTTGATGAATTATAGGTGTCACGCCTAATGCTTTCTTTATCGCACAGAACATGAGCTAAGTAGGGTATGGTTGAGTTTTTGTACTCGCTGGTGCGAGCATATAGTTTTGTCTATAGGCTTCTGGTGGTTTGCCTGATGAGATGCACGGGCAGAGTTGTGAGTGAAGAGGGTGGTGTGAGTTAGATAAAATCGATTTGGCCCATTTTTCACATCAGTCCATGTGCATGTCGACCAGAATATTAACAAGCTGGTTAACGGCACGTTGCTTACCCTGCTGACAACCCATAACATCCTGCGTAATATGTTATAGTCTTTCTTCAGTAGCCCGGGAAAAACTAAGGGGGAACAATAAAGAATAATAGGCAGAATGCGAGAGTTAACGAATTGTAGGAGTAAGGGTTGGGTTATACCAGAATGTTTTAACTTCTTGATGTAGAAGGTATGACGAAATATTTTCTTAGAAATCGCCAAGATAAGAGACGACCAGGAGAGATCAGCAGATAGAATGACGCCTAGGTATTTGATACCTATCATTGTAAAAAGTATGTTGAGACACCATTTTGTAACATACAATTGATTTATTTAAGATGTATACAACTAAAAAGAGAGAATCCATGAAATAAAACGAGCTCGTATACGCTTACCTGTAAATATGTTCGTTCTTTCTTTATTGAAACTAATAAAGGGAACCGGCTGTATAAAAGACACTAATACTGTTCGGCCAACAAGAAGACTCTAGAAGATTTGAACCTAGCGGATGATTTTTTTTAAATGTCACACAAATCCGAAGACTTACAGGTGAAAACCAGTAATTTGACAGAAGAGGCAAGTAGCGAAGACAGGACTTCACGTGAGCACAGACAAGACAGAGGTAATGAAGATAGCCAACTCTCGACAATAACAAGCACCAGTCACCATGACGGGGGCGGGGGTTAATTTCAAGGAAGTCAGTTTTTTCACTTATCTAGAAAGAAGTATCTTTTCAACTAGAGGCAAATGACACGAATAAGAATGTCGAAGCCAGCCACGATCGGAAAGGCAAGGCAGACACACATGCACTATTCTGAAATTAATTTAGAAATCTCCTGCACTCAACATAAGGACCAAGATTCGGATTTTCAGTACTAATGGCAGACTTTTATCAACAGCTGCCCTCTTCGCTGGCTCCGAAAGCTTCTACCTTGACGTGGTGGTCGGGCTTGAACACCACAATGGCCCGACAAGCTATACTGGCTGACACTTATGTCGCTCGAGGTCCTACCATGCCAGAAAGGTTGTTTGGATAGCGGTTAGACAAAAAGCAGCTACCCAATCCAATGCTATGATTCAAACAAATTCACAAAATATCATGCCGGATCGATTGCTGCCCGGATTAACAACGACCGCGCTTCCTGTTGCCGTGTCACAGGGCAGAAGTGATAAGTATGCTACTGAGACACACCAAATAAAAAAGAACAAACAAAAACAGGCCGCGTGTGACCGACCTCAAGCAGTTGTCCCCTGGGCTCTGCGGTCACGCAACCAACTTCCACGGTGTGGGCAGCCGGGAAGTAACAATCGCCCTCACAATCCAAAATGCACGCTAGCTCCATACAGAGGATCAAATGTCTAGCCAGAAAGAATTAACAACAAGAGACTTCAGCAGGCGACAAACCAATCAAGAGCTGATTGCCCAATAAATATACCGTAGGAGATGGAGTTGGGTTGGACACACTTTCAGGAGGTCGTCAAGTGGAACCTTAACGGAGAAATGACTAGTTCGGCTTAGGCTCGAGTGTGACATGGAGGAGGTCATGTAACGAGGAAATGAAAAATTATGATAATAATAATTTGCTTTATTCCAGAAACAGTACTAGTGGTACACTGTGGAATTTTCAGCACATATCTACAATATTTGCATCAATTTTTACCCAACGTTTAAAAGGAGTATTTCAAGAAAATAAATATGAAGACAACAACAGCAAAAAAACACAAAAGAAAATTAAAAGAATACGAAAAAATATCAAGAAGTAGAAAGGAAAATAAACAGCATATAATAATATCTCAGTATTGGGTAGTGGAAGCTATGATGTGATTATGTATGGTGACAGTAAAGCTATAGTCATACAAGAAGTTATGAAATGATATTTAAGAATGTTTATCGCCAAGATGGTCAGTTAATTTATTGAAACAACACTAAACAATCATAAAATAGCATTTCAGGGTTGTTGTTTTTTTAACATGTCTAATGCGGTGTTTGTAGTGGTAGTGTGAGTAATCCTGCATAATACAAAAATTTTAAGATGGTGATAATGGCTTTCACAGCCAAGATTGTTAGTTAATATTGCCGAACAAAAAAACAACAACAACCACAAAAACTAATAATTACATGATGGTTAATGACAGGACAATTTTGTACTACTCATAGTGCTAATATAGTCGGGACCATTAGATACACAAAAGAAGGAATATAGTAAAGTACAAAAAAGGAAGCCAATGTTAATATTTTAGGTAGCTAAGTATGTTTGAGAAGGAGTTCACTAAAGAATACAAAATAAGAGAGAAATAAAAGACCCTAAAATTATGTTGTTAATAACAGAGCAAGTCATAAGTTTCACGCTTAACATTGTCTCTGTCGCTTAGAACACGGGCCAAGTATGGTATCGTTGAGTTCCTGTACTTGGTTGTACGAGCATAGATTATTTTATACTGATTTCTGGTTTTACTTGATGAGATACAAGGCGAGAGTTGGGAATAGAGGGGGTGTTGGGGGTCTGAGAGTATGGTTTTTGACCATTTTTCGCATGTATTCAGATGCCTATCAACTAAAGTAGCGACGAGCTGACTGAGTTTTACACCACTAGTCCTACTGACTACCTTCAACATCCTTCGCATGATGGTATAGTCCTTTTTCAGTAGACCAGGAAAGACTAACGGGGAGCAGTAAAGTAGAATAGGTAAGATACGAGAGTTGACAAATTGTGAAAGTAGAGGTAGAGTGATTCCAGATTGTCTTAGTTTCTTAATGTAGTAGGTTAGACAGAACACTTTCTTAGAAATCGTTAGGATATGAGATGTCCAAGTAAGGTCGGAAGATAGAACTAGACCGAGGTATTTTGCATTAGACTTAGTTTCAATTTTAGTCTCCTCAATGCAACAGGCTTCATGAGTACTTACTAGTGTTTGTAGATCTCGTTCATGTCTAGAGGAGAAGTCACTAGTCTGACATTTAGAGGGATTCAGTATGAGGCCATTTAGTTTGGACCACTGACTGATGTCCGACAGGAAGCTATTTAATTTGAAACAGTCTGACTGCGACTTAACGGGAAGCGAAGCAGTCAGGTCATCTGCATATTCGACCAAGTTGATTTCGTCTGAAAGAGGTAAGTCATGTAAAAAAAAGGAAAAGAGAAACGGAGAGAGAACAGCACCCTGAGGAACTCCAGCTTCAGTAAGCAAATGAGAGGAAGATACACCATTATATACCGTGTACTGCATCCTATTAGAGAAGTAAGAGTGCAACTAAAGGTAAGTGGCACGAATAAGAATGTCGAAGCCAGCCACGATCGGAAAGGCAAGACAGACACACAGGTACTATTCTGAAATAAGTTTAGAAATCTCCTGCACTCAACATAAGGATCAAGATTCGGATTTTCAGCACAGTTGGCAGACTTTTATCAACAGCTGCATCCTTCGCTGGCTCCATACAGAAGATCAAATGTCTAGCCAGAAAGAATTAGCAGCAAGAAACTCTGTGACTGGGAACAAACCAACCAAGAGCTGACTGCTCAACAAATATACCGTAGGAAATGGAGCTGGTTCGGACACACTTTGAGGAGGTCGTCAAGTAGAACTTTAATGGGAAACGACCAAGTTCGGTGTGGGCTCAAGTGTAACATGGAGGAGATCATGTAACAAGGAAATGAAAAATTATGGGCAATCGTCGATCCAGATGAAGAGAACTACCGAAAACAAGATGAAATGGAGATTTTTTTATTTTTGATTACAGCTTGATGCCACACCGCATTTTCAGTACAAGTATGGAATTTTCAGCATGGATATCGATAGCCCAAATTTTGCAGGCCGACCATAGATATCAGGTGTGCATCGGCAGGGGGTCGAAACCCGGACCATGTGCATGGTCGGCGAGAGTCCTAACCACTGTGCCACCGATGCCTTATGTTCCACTCGTGATTTTAGAGAATGATAATAAATGTAATGAGTTATGTAGGCTAAACAATAAACTGTAAAAACAATATCTAATAGTTAGTTTGTAAGGATTAGATTTGTTTTTACGAGTTTGATCACGGATTGATATCAGTGAGAGAACCATTGAAAACCAGCAGGGATTGCTGGACAGCTGTTTCATCCTGGGTTCGAAACGCAATGGGCGCGTACTGCCGATGATGCCCAGAAACTAGGATGAAACAACTGTCCAGTACTCCCTGCTGGTTTTCAATGGTTCTCTCACTGATATCAATCTGTGGTCAAACTCGTAAAAAAAAAACAATATCGTTTTGTTTTTCATTCATTGGGAAATACAAAGTCTTTTATTCATAGAGAAAAAAACTGATGGAATGCATTGAATGACCAGTATTCACATCATGCAGACACATAAGAACACATTTCACTTGAAACAACCGCATTTTTATCTTATCAGCAAAAGTATACGCAAATAAACAAGTTAATCGGATCACTCTGTCTGTATTGATTGTTTAGTACACTACTACAATAATGTGAATGAATTCAAGAAGCAATTTTTAGAACACACTGATTGGTTGATTATTCATTACAGGTCAAATGGCTTTTTTTTTAACCAATCGAATTGCAGATTTTACAGATTGACTAATTCTACATTTGGCGAATAGGAAAGCACTTTCGTTAGTGTCTTTTTGGCTGTAGATTCACTACTATTATTACTACTATTGTTGTTCTTGTCCAAAGCATCCGTATCAGTCACTGGTGGTAGTAATAGCAGCAGTAGTATTAGTAGCATTATTACTTGATTACAACACCCAGTATTGTTTCAAACTAGTCGAAAGAGAAAAAGATGTCTGCAGTCGGTATATCAGAATGGCTGGCTAAAAAGCTGTTACCACCGAAACCAGATCCTCGACTGGATGCCTATCCATTGATGGGTTCTTGGACGCCAACGGCACTCATTTCACTAACCTATGTCATTGGTGTATACGCCTGGCGAGCGGAATGCTTAAAGCGACAAGAAAAACAAAAGAAGACGAAAGGCGAGTACAACAACTCCAAGAGAAATAAGGCTGACGAGAAATGGGATTTTGTTAAATATTTAATGGTCTTGTATAACATATTGATGGTGATCTATTCCTGTGTAATTACATTCGGTACACTATGGGCTGTATGGATTCTGGGCTATGGACTTGGGTGTGAAGAACAACCTGATCCTAGAGACGCTAAATACGATATACTTGTCTTTGTTGGATATCTATTCTACTTCTCTAAATTTGTTGAAATGTTGGATACAGTGTTCTTTTTATGGCGTGGAAAAGTTGATCAAGTGACATTTTTGCACGTGTTTCATCATGCTACTATGCCACCATCAATTTGGTGGGGAGTGAAATATGCACCAGGTAAGTTCAAGAATATTTTTTTCTTCTGTTGTCAATGTTCATGTTAAGGCTTTTCATTGTTTTGGGTTATTCCTTCTTATAAATTATTTAAATTAATCCCAGTGTGTTAAGAAAATCAAAACAAGATTTTTCTGAACGTTTCGCTGTGTAAGCCACAGCTTCTTCAGCAGATTTCACACAGCGAAACGTTCAGAAAAATCTTGTTTTGATTTTCTTAACACACTGGGATTAATTTAAATAATTTATAATGAATCAATCTGACTCGGCGCTCAAATTATTCCAGGAAGTTCGTAACACCTACGGCCTGGAAACCTATATTCCTTCTTATGTTTAAGAACTTTTGTCATCAAAACACTGCAGGATAAAGCCTTAAAAACTTAGATTCGATGGTAATCGATTTCATAGCTCTGACATTACCGGTTCACGAATAATCCTCATCGAAGCATTAAAACCCGTAGTTCAGTGGAAAGACTCTTTTTTCGGTGAATTCACTCTCTTTAACTGTACAGTCGCAACTACATATAACCGAAGTGATGAGTTGTCACAATCGTGGTTGTTAACATGTATCAACACATAAGAAAAGCTGAATAAGGGCTTTTAGTGTTACGTAGTAAGATGAATATTTTAATATACAGTCGAAGTGGTTGAATAATTTTCTTCTGCATGCATAGCTCCAGTATCTCTAACTGAATGACTACAGCTTCAGTGATACACAGAACACGAAACCATTCTGCCTTATGGCGGTTTATTCTTCACTTTGTAGATTACCTTGAAAGAGGCAAGTATAATGTGATCGTTCAACGTGTATCCTGTCTAAAAAGTCTTCAAGAACACTATCCGGAATGGTTGCAGAACGATATCAATGCCTCTATAGGTAGTGCGATAATTGTCTCCTCCAACGTAATCTACAAGGTGAAGAATAGTCTGTCAAAGGTAATAATACCATGTTATCTCCTTTGCATTGATTGCTGGAGACTTAGCCATTAAAGTAGAGAAGCCAGGGCTATGCATACAAAAAAGAAAATTATTCAACCACTCATATTATCATGTTCATAACCTTTTTGATTTCTACTAACTTGGGCTTTGTTTTTGCTTGTTATTCTACCTCCTTATAACTCTTGTATTTCTTTAAAGCTATTTCCTTCGGTTCTATGTGTATCCTGATTACAACTCATTCACATTAAATTATTCATCTGATTACTCAACTCCAATACAATTATTCAATTTGTCTTATGTAGTGACTAATATTCACCATTATGATTATTATTAGACAAAAGACCAGTAGTTCGGTGAAGAGTCCCTTTTCGGCAAATTTCATTTTCATAGCTGTACAATCGTAAATATATATATGTTTGTTTTGTATGTGTGTGTACATCAAATATAAGAGGGTAGTAAGAAAAGTGATTAATTGTCACAAACGATTGTCAAAGAAGAGTTACGTAATAACATGAATAGCTTGATGAAAGAGTTGTGCTCTATGTACAACCTGAACACAACTCTCTCATCAAACTATTCATGTTGTTACGTAACTCTTATTTGACAATCGTTTGTGATAACTCATCACTTACTTCAATCTTCGCCTACCATGAACTACATGACCTATCTAAATATGATTAGTCATCGGTATGTTCTTTTGTTTTTCAGCTAATTGAGTAACCGTCATGAACTTTATTTTATTATTGTTAACCATATTAGTTGTAATCAGATGAATAATTTAATGTGAATGAGTTGTATTCAGGGTGCACATAGAACCGAAGGAAATAGCTTTAAAGAAATACAAGAGTTATAAGGAGTTAGAATAACAAGCAAAAACAAAGCCCAAGTTAGTAGAAATCAAAAAGGTTATTAACATGATAATGGGAGTGGTTGAATAATTTTCATTTTGTATGCATAGCCCCGGCTTCTCTACTTTATTGGCTAAGTCTCCAGCAATCAATGCAAAGGAGATAACATGGTATTATTACCTTTGACAGACAATTCTTCACCTTGTAGATAACGTTGAAGGAGGAGTTTGCTTAAGATGGAATGACCAGTGTTGACAAGATGTTCAATTATCCCACTACCTATAGAGGCACTGATATTGTTCTGAAACCATTCCGGATAGTGTTCTTGAAAACTTTTTAGACAGGATACGCGTCGAACGATCACATTATACTTGCCTCCTTCAAGGTAATCTACAAAGTGAAGAGTAAACCGCCAAAGGCAGTATGGTTTCGTCTTCTGTGCATCGCTCAAGCTCCAGTCATTCAGTTACAGATACCGGAGCTATGCATAGAAAAGAAAATTATTCAACCACTTCGACTATACATTAAAATATTCATCTTATTGAATTCGCCGCCGAAAAGAGACTTTGCAGAACTACTGGTCTTTTGTGCATTAATGTTTGAATGGGGATCTGATTACGACAACCAATCACTTTTGGTACTACCCCATTTCATGGAAAATTGTATATAAACGCGATTTTACAGCTGAAGAAAGTGAATTCGCCAAAGAAAGCCTCTAAGCTGAACAGCCTGTTTTGTTTTCCTTTTACGAGGTATCTTCTTTTGGGGCATAGGGCTATAGTGTAAGCAGGGCAAATTGTTGGATGAAATTGTAAGGCTGCATCGACTGAGTTGGCGAAGACACGTGCTGTACATGCTAAGCCACCACCGCCTTCCTTGTCGAACAATATTAGGAGTAGCAGATTTCTGTTATGACTACTGGTTTATTACACACAACTCCTTTGCTACTTTTTGCTAAGGCCTTTATTTTCTGACTAAACTTGAACTTCCTGTGTATTAGTTACATCAGCGTAATTTTCTGAGCACTCTTCACTAAGTTTGGAGTCTTCTGTTAACTGATATCACGCCACATTTGCAATGATTTTTTGAAACTGGTTTGTACACAAAATGAATAATTTCTTTAGGCTGTATACGCAGCTGATGAAAAGCCGACAAAATTAGCGATAGTACCATACTATTCTGCAGAAACTGCTTTTGTTCTTGCTTTGTTCAATCTCTAAAATGGGAGTAAGTGTATGAAATTAATGACTTAGGTTGTGAGGAAGTGCGGCTCATCGGTTTTCAGGTATTGGGTCATAGATTTGAGTCTTATTCCACCTGCCTCAGTTTGGGGAACTGGGTCGTAACACATATAATACTACTACTACTAATAATAACAATCACATCATTATTCTGGAAAGTATTTATAAAATGGACAGAATTTTTAGAGGAGTTTATTGCATGATATTTTCCCTTCGTTCATTCGATATCCTGTGACACAATGGTCTCTGAACTGATGGAGCACAAATCATCCGATTATGATATTTCTGCTCTGTCTTATTCAAGAAATCAACCCACGATATCTAGTTGAAAGCCTATCGCAAGATGTTTCTGAAGTGCATTTTGAGACCCAAGGACATAAGTGAAGAACAGTTATCTCATGTATTGCAACACACAGCCACCCATAATGAGACCATTCCTCAAGTTTAGTAGGAACTTGTGAAACGGAAGCTTGTAAACATTTTAAATACACTCAAGAGTGGATAATACCAATGGAGGGGTCATATCTTAATCGATTAAAACAAACCAAATGGGCAAAAATATATGCAACAGAGACAGATGGAAGTTTTTGGTAGCCCAAGTTTTGAGCAGGCCGACAATACCATTATTATTATTGTTCCCTTGGGTTCCTAGTGGAACATAGGGCTTCAACTACACGTCTCCACTTGTTTCTGTCTTCTGCTGTACTCTCCACCTGCATCCATGTTAGTCCACACTGTTTCAACTCCTCTTCACACGATCTCCTCCATGTCACCATTGGACGTCCCACTCGCCGCTTCCCTTTCGGGTTCCACTCGAGCACTGGCCTGACGCGCGATGTCACCCAAGGGCCTCCTCAGCGAGTGTCCAATCCATCTCCACTTTCTCCTGCATATTCGTTGGGCGATTGGTTCTTGTTTTGTTTGTTCTCATAGTTTCTATTCAGTTAATACATGAATTCCAATTTATGAATTTGAATAGAGATAGAAAAGACACTGACTGGTGCAGAATAGTATGGATCCAATTTATTTCAATTGTTATTTTGAGGTAAATATGTTCAGTGTGGCAATAAGAGGACGTAATTTATCTGAGTCGTGTAATGTTGTATATTTGCGCAACACATTTCGAACAATGTGATCACACATGGACTTGTCATCATAAAGTTTGTGGAAGTTCTAGCTAGCAATTAAGAAGTTTAAGCGTTCATCAAAATCAATTCGTCATTATCACATTAAACTTTCCTTCGTAAACTTTGTTTTGATACCAGCCACCGTAGATGTACTATTACCTCTTTTATTTAGTTAAGTGATCTTCATTATTATTTTGACCTTCAAATCGTGACCTTTTAACTTGACCTAAGTAGTTTATTTTCTCACCTCTTAACTCTTTATTAATTTGAGATATATACAGTCGTATGACAAGTCCTGGTGTGTGATCAGATTGTTCGAAATGTGTTGCGCAAATACACATTACACACGTTTCAGATAAATTAGGTCTTCTTATTGCTTTGTCTAAATTCATTAAGAGGACTAAGCGTTTTAAATTCTTAAGGAGAAAACTCTATCCACATGTGCGCACACACTATGAAAACGTTAAATGAACTTGTTAACCTAAGGTGTAGAGTTATCGTCGAACGTGACACGTTGAAATTTTATGAATTATATATTAAAAATCATTCCTTTCCAGATGATTTATAAACCTCCTGTTCATTGATTTAATTTATTAACTTTGGATGGACAGTTGAGCTATTTTTTTAAGTTAAGGATTATCATTCAGATGCTAATATAGACCATTATAGTGTATTACTGAACTATATGACTTCTTAGTTGTTTACTCCCTTTCGAATTCTAACCAATGCTTCCTCAGTTCTTGATGAATCGTGCGCGTGACTTTAGGATAATCGACCTGATTTACTGTGAGAAAGGTCAAACTACTGTTTCATACCTTGATTTGTTCGAGTAATGAGATGGTGGTGCG